GCAAGCGCACTATATCCAATGTTTTGCTCATCACCTTCGGTTAGTGATTATGTCCTCTTTGATGAACAATGGAATAATTGGTAGTTTTTATATCTATTGTAAATGTGGTTAGTGTGTCATGTAAAAAAAGATGATCTTTTGCAATAACATTATGAAGATCCAGTAGGTCGTATTGAATGTGGTGGGATTAGCACGGGGAAGGGGAAAAAGTCTAACACGATCAGGTAATACTCGTTAGGGCTCTCATTATAAAACAATCATTAGATGATCTCAAAAGTAAGTCCACTTCTTCGGTTTGAAAAAATATCAATCTATAATTTTGTGTTCATTGCTCATTTCATGTTACAATTATTGTGAAAAACTAATGTGCTATCAAAGGAATTGTAACAAAAGAATCAAAACATAGACAATGTTGTGGATCTTGTCAAGGTCGTGAAGACCGATTTGTAGAATTATAGGAATGATTATGATTGGGATTTGTTGGTTGAAGAAGTGACTACATTTTTTCAAAGCATGATATTGATGTACCTAATATGAAGGATGTAAAGTCAGGTAGAGTGAAAAGGCAGAAGACAGTTGATGGTAGCCCGAAAACTTATTATCACTATTTTCATGTTGACATTTTTCTCGAGGTACTTTTTAGACTTTTATTCCTTATTTAAAATTATTTATTTTGCCACAACAATTCATTATTTTTTTAATATAATGTTAGGCTATTGATCATCGTATTCAAGAGATGGTTAATCGCTTACCAAGTCAAGTTTGGAGCTATTAATGCGCATAGCGTCATTAAGTCTTGAAGACTCATTCTCCAATTTTTATGTGAAATGATTACTTTTAGCTTAAAAGAAAATTTTGATCTAAATGAACAACTTCGAGTGTTTATTACAATTGCTTAATCATCTCCACAATTCTCATGCCTACAAACTATTGGAGATTTGACAAATAGATGGTTGAAACAGAATGACACACAACATATAAGTTAGTGTATCGACTCATTCAGTTGGCACCATAGTTGAAAGATCTTTCTTGATGATGAAGTTTATGAAAAATGATTTGCACAACAAGACTGGAGAAGAAATTGACGCATCAGTTCGTAATAAAAATAAGGTATTATTTAATTTATTTAGTTGTTTTATTTAAATTTTATTGTTTTGTTTATTGTTATATTCAATATATATATGATTTATGTGCTAATGTGCCCCCAAGTCACGAGTGTCACTTCTGTGATGTGTCTGAGTGTTTTAGCACGCAGGGCCTTCACTTGGGCTGCCCGCACTGTGGGTTTGGGTAGATGGGTAGAGACGGTCTAGGGGCTAAAGGCTGTTGGGTGGCTTACGATTTGGGATGGGCCACATCACGTCCAGGGGCTCAAATTTCATATATCATATATATGTGTGTGTGTGTATATATATTTATATTTATATATAGAGAGAGAAGTGCTCGTGTCCAGCACTTCTCTGTCCGAACGCCGTCCGAACACCGCTGTTTGGGGTGGTTCCTGGTGGAATTTTTTGATGATTTTTTTTGAGCATGTTCCTCATCAAGTCTACTTTATCCATACCAAATTTCAGATCAAAATTCGATCGGGAAGGCAGTCAAATAATTTGTTGAAGTTAACTGCGCCAAATTATACATAGAAAAACGCAGTTAACTTCAAAAAATTATTTGACTACCTTCCCGATCGAGTTTTGAGCTTAAATATGGTATGTATAAACTAGATTTGATGAGGAACCTGCTCAAAAAAATTCATCAAAAATCTCCATTAGAAATCGCCCCAAACGGCGGTGTTCGGACGACGTTCGGACGGGGGAGTGCTAGATAGGATCATTTCTCTCTCTCTATATAATCGCAAGGCCATGGACCCCAAGCGCTAGGGTAGTTCTACCCCTGCCTCCACATGTCATGAACCAATATCTGCATTTTCAGATTTTGTTTCTACATCGAATATTGACCTCCCTATAGCACTATTAAAAGGTACACGGTCTTGTACTCATCCTATTTCTTCTTTTGTGTCATATAGTCGGTTATCCTTTATCTCATGTTCTTTTATTGCTTTCATTGACTCTATTTATGTTCCCAAATTTGTTAAAGAAGCTTTGTCTCATTCTGAATGACATCATGTCATGGTTGAGGAAATGATTGCTTTAGATATTAATGGTACTTTGAGATTTGGTAGACTTGCCTACAGGGAATTAGTCTATTAGATGCAAATGAGTCTTTGCGGTAAAGGTTATTTGAGATGGATCTGTTGCTTGATTGAAAGTCCAAATGTCTGATTGGTTGCAAAGGATTTTGCTCAAACCTATGATTTTGATTATTCTCATACTCTTTCTGTTGTTTCTAAATTAACATCATTTTCATTTTCATTTACCCCAATGCCGCAAAGGCTCCCACCTACGGTGGGGTAAGGGGGAGTCGGATGTACGCAATCTTACCCCTATACTAAAGCACAAAGAGACTGTTTTCGGATGATCCATAGTGAAAATCGCGTCCAAAATTGCATGGACTGACTGCTTCTCCATAACAAAAAAGCGCAAACAATTTTGTGAGCCATTTTTCTTTATTTCACTGGTTGCAATTCATGGTTGGCACTTACATCAGTTGGACGTTAGAATTCCATTCTTGCATGTGACCTTCATGAGGAAGTTTATCTCGAACAACCTCCAAGTTTTGTTTCTGAGGGGGAGTATGAGTAAATGTGTCGACATCGCAAGTCTTGTTATGATCTGAAACAGAGTCCTCGTGCATGATCTGTGAAATTCAGTCAATCAATTGAACAGTTTGGAATAATACAAGGTCAATTAGATCATTCCGTCTTTTACGGACAAATGAAAGCAGGTATTACATTGCTTGTGGTGTTTGTCAATGATATTGTGGTTACAAAGGATATGACATGTATTTTGGTCCTTGAGTATTTTCTTCATAAGCAATTCCAGACAAAAGATCTAGACTTATTGAAATACTTTTTGAGTATTGAGGAAGCACGGAGTAAGAAAGACATATTTCTATCTCAACGGAAATATATACTTGATTTGCCAGTTGAAACGGGAAAATTGGGAGCAAAGCCAAGCAATGCACCCATGGTCAATGCACAACTCACTCAAGAAGGTGTGCCGTTCGAAGACCCAGAAAGATATAGAAGATTGGTTGAAAAGCTTAATTATCTCAGAGTCACTCGTCCAAATATTGTGTACTCTTTCAATGTAGTGAGTCAATATATGTCATCTCAACGTTAATCAGCTGTAAACTGCTGCAGAACACATATTATGTTTACTTGAAGGGAGCACCGGGATGAGGTATTGTTTATCAAAACCATGATCACATTAGAATGAAATGCTTTACGGATGCTGATTGTCACATTAGAATAGATGCTTTACCATGATCAAAACCAAGTGACTGTAAATATAGCGAATAATCCAATATTTAATGAGAGAACAAAACATATTGAGGCCAATCGTCATTTATTCAAGAGAAGATATGAAGAGATAGATCTCTACTGAATATGAGAAGACTGGAGAACAACTTGGAGATTTATTCATTAAGCACTAAATGAGATTCGAGTTGATTATTTATGTAACAAGTTGGACATGATAAATATCTACGCTTCAAGTTGAGACGGAGTATGAAATCTATTAGAATAAATGTTGGAATATGTTTTGGAATATTTTAAGAATGTACTCTAGGATATTATTATTATTATTATTATTATTATTATTATTATTATTATTATTATATAGAATCTTATAGGAATATTCCATCTTTGTAATGTATATTTATAGAGACATCAATCCTTCAATAAAGGTAGAGAAAATCCCTTCTTGTGCAATATTATTTCTAGTTTATACTTTATTATGTTTCAACATATATTTATATAACTTAGCTTATTACGGAGTATATTTTATTTTTTTTATGAGTACTTTAACTATTATTTTATGTGATCACTACAATTATTATTTTTAATATACATGCATCCACGCACAGGTACATATATATTCATTTATTTTTGGTATTAAGATTTTAAATATGAATATTTTTGAAATAGTATTATAAAGTAGCAATAGTACTATATAATAGCAATACTACTCGTGATATTTCTTATGGGTGTTATTACATTATTGTCATAACTATTTTCATTTTATTTCATTTTTTGAATAGTTATAAAATAATTAATGGGCTAAAATTGGAGGGTATATTAGGGTTTTTCATAGTGACTTTTTCATTTTTTATTTTGTCATAGCAAATAGTCAAACCAAAAAGTCATTTAAACACTTAAAATATATGTTTGACTGCGTCAATCCAAAAAGCTAAAAAATGGATGATAAGCCTTTTACCATACACTCCCATTGTGGACTAAGAGAAACAAATAAATATTACTTCGTATGAGATTAATAGTAAACTGGCACATAATATTTACAATATTTGAATGTGTACCCCCCCGTTTAATTGTTTTGTACTCCGTAGCATTTACGAATGATATAAATGGCAAGTAAGAGCATCTCCAATGGTTCATTTGATGACTTGCTTGCAATTTTAAAGTTAATAGCTTATCATTGGAGCATTGTTTTTATTTTTACTTGAAAAAGCTGATTAGCCACAATAAGCTAGAAGCTTGAACAAGGAGAATTATAAAATATAACATTATTAATAATAAATGAAGAGGTAGAAGTTATAGCTAACCATTGAAGTACATTTTACTTTTGCGGCTAATGCTTATGTCGCTAGTCAAGTCATAAGGGTAATTAGCTAACCGTTGCAGATGCTTCAATACAAATGACTTCTATTCGTAAATTATAATTATTACTATTATCATTTTGTTGGGGTGGACCTCAGAAAAAGATATACTGAATGTTGAACCTCCAGTGCAATGTGGGGCAAAGAAAAAGGGATATGATACTCAACTTCAGCCAAAATATTTTGTTCCCTTCCCTTTTCTAGCATTGGTGAAGGCATGGTCCTTATGTCATGCTATAACATTCTCTGTACTGCTTTGCTTGCAGGTACTAGATATACTTGAAGATGCTTGTAGCACTCTTTTGGAGAATATCTTGGCAGGGAAGGCCCAGAAGGGAGATCCTTAATTCTTCATGTCAGCGTTATAACAAAATTCTTCAGAGGACCATACTTGTTTAACGAACTCAAGAATGGTCCTCCATTTTGAGATTAATGAGTGCAGGGTCTACATTGAATTTCAAAATAGTGGATACATTCTGATTTTGTTGAACCTATGAGTAAACTGGTGTGTTCGGATTGCTCCAAAATTGTGTTAACAAAGTCTACTTTGTTTAGTTTGTTAGGAGTTGATATGTCTCCAAAAGATTCCAACCCCTTTACCCAGAATTTCTTCAAAAGAAAAAGTTCAGAATGGAGATTCTTAGTTAATCATGGCATTTGTCACCCAAATTATGGAGTTCTGATTTTGGAGTTTCTGTAACTGTCAAACACTAGTTTTTTGTGGGAAGTGATTTAGTGAAACCAGAAATGGCACTCCATTTAGAGGTTCAGGAGAGATTGATAAGAATGGCATGTGCAGATGGAGCTGTATTTGAATTTGCACCACAACACGAAGTGTGTTTCCTGTTGTGATGATCCCCTATTACAAATTTACATGTAAATACATTTTAAATAAAGAACGTTCAACTTATGAACCTTTGCCAAGTTATTTGCCTTCCTGAGTTACGAAAAGGAAAAGTTCTTGAAATAAAAGGAAACAAGTTTTGGAATTCCAAAATAAGACTCATGTTTTTCTTCCCGCGAGTACATGTCAATATTTAATAATAGTACTATGCATTAAAATGACAGTGCTTATGGAATCAGTATTTGGAAGGACAACACAAAGGAATGAGAGGCATCGCCCAACAAGAAGAATGACAACTGAAGGTGCAGGGGCTACCCGATGTTGGCCAGCGGCTGCAACTCGATCCTTAGATTTGGAGGAACAACGACTGAGACTTGCTTTTAGGAGGCAGGTGACAATGGTTTCTGCTGAGAGTGGGCTGCTGTGGATTGCCGCTGGGAGGGGTTGCGAGTCGCTGATTGAAAGGGAGCTGAAGGCTGTGGACATGGTCGTTGAAGATTGTGGATCGAATTAGTTTAAGAAACAGGAGTACTAGTATGTTTTTTGCTGCAGTTGAATAAAAAGCCTGCAACACATACGGGTAGAATTCTACGTAAACTTTTTTGTACACTTTTATATGCGACTAACGTGCAAGCGCGTCAAATAACGGGATTTAAACCATGAATTGATACGGATTCAGACACACCGCAACAAATACGTTACTTTTAATTAAAATTAAAACAGTATTTGTTGTAGTTTTTTCATTACACCCGCCGCAAATAGCTAAAATATGATGATAAGTGCTGCGGTTCTTGTTTAACCGCAACAAATAGGTAGCATCAAACATACACTTTTGTAGAAGTGTGTGAGAACACTAATTCATACGTAGTAGTATATAAACAATGAAGGACTCATGGAGCATAAAATAAATATTAGTATGTCATTACTTGATGTAAAACTTCATCTAAATTTCAAGAGACTTTTGTGCTTCTCAAAATCTATCCTATTCTTTAACTTTTATAAAAAAAGACTCAAGCTTCATTTTTTCCCCACAATTATGCTTTCATTCTATTCAAACTTTAAGTTGGAAAACTTGTATTGCTTATTTATATATATAAAACCATATTTCTACTATACAATTAAATAAAATAAAAGTGGTGAAATTTATATTACTTATAATAAATCAAATTATAGTGCATAAAATATGAAAGATCACTAGCAAGATGAGATTGTAATATACAGCTATAAAAACAGTTCAAAGTTTTCTTGATAACAAAATAATTTTATAAAAAGAAGTATTAGTGATTACATTAACTTTTATAAAAACATGACTATATGAACTAGGTAATTTGTTGAAAAGTTAGAGTATCATTTTATATTAATTTTATAAATTTTGTCAGAGTATTTTAAGTCATAGATTATTATACTCCGTATAAGATTAATATTTTAAGATTTGATTAAAGTTCTTTCTAATTCTTGAAAAAACAGAATGAACTACTTAATAAAAATTATACTACATACAGAGTATAATTTAATTCAAGTATATAAAAATTATTGAGATTGATATGATTTTGTAATTTAAAAAAACCACAATCAGAAAGTGTATTTGTTACAAAAGATGGAATTTAAGCCTTTTTTAAATAAAATTTAAAGAATAAATTAAATTTGTAAATTTCATAATATTAGGGATATAACAATTTAATAATTCTCTTAGAAAAACGAAAATAAAAACATTCCTAGCCTCAAGAGTAAGTTCGAAGGGCCGGACCCTGAACTGTTGGACCAGTCCGATTAACATCTAAGCAAACCAACTGCCGCATACAAAACCCTAGCTGTAGGACCAGTCCGATTACCTCCCTTTGGCCTGCGCTCGTCTTCTGGTCGCAAGGAGGAGCTCATTTTTGAGCTCTGTAACCACTCCGACATCAAAGGTTTGATAATATTCACAGATGTGTATAAGTAGATTTCTCATATGTGTTGTGACTCTTTTATGAAATTGGAACAGAGGGGAAAAGAGACATGAAGTTCATCGCCGCATACTTGTTGGCTGTGCTGGGAGGCAAAGCCAGCCCTTCCGCCGGTGACATCAAGAAAATCCTTTCCTCTGGTATGCCGCAATCTGCATTACATATATTTCTACATATGCCGCATCCTTGTATCTGTTTCATGATCAGTGCATGTGAAGTTTTGTTTGCTATTCAGTGTATTTACATATTTTCGACTGCAAGGTTTTGTTAATCGAGAATATACTGATTTCTAATTGATGTTTTGAAAGAGACCATTATTATATATGTTTGACCATCTTAGGTGATTTAATTTGCTACCACTATATCGCATGTGAATTGGATCGAAGTAGAGGATTTGTGATTAATAAATCAAGACAATTCTTCTGCAAGAGAGAGGACTCCAGTCCAGTTCTTTTTCACTTAAGGCTTCTTTGAAGCACTACAATCTGGATTTTGCTAGGAGAAGAAATCAGGATGGAAATTAAAGGCGAAACATTATAAAAACCCAGGACTTTATACATCTTACTCCATATTAAACATATGAAGCATGACAAATTATTCGTTTTTCTATGCATTATTTGAAAAGGCAAACACAAAAGTTCAATTTGCCTTGGCTTTTCCCCTTTTTCTTGAGCATTTTCTTAAATTTGATAGCTTTAACAAACACTATTAGCATTTGCTATTTACGTGCTGGATTGAATGATTTACCTATTTACTTATCTGTATCCACTATCCTATTTACTCTGTCAAACATGGTTTCCACTGACTACTAAATAAAGTCCATTGCCTGTCCTTGTTCTTCTTTTGTTACTCATTGACTCAAGTAATTTAGAAAATATGTTGCACCTTGCTTGTCTTTCTTATGAAAAAACATTAGTTATAGATGAAAGCGCTGCAACTCTTTAAAGATTACATTTGATTCCAGCATGTTTGTTGTATGCTCGAATGTTTTTCAACAAAAACATCCAAGCCTTAATTCCAAAAGTATTAGGGGCTAGCTAACATCCTAATCTTCATTTGTTTCATTTGTGCAATACTCTATTTGTTCTGTATTCTTGTCATTACTTAACATCAAAACTCGGATTTCGTAGTGGGTGCTGAGGCTGATGACAGTAAGCTTGAGTTGCTCTTGTCTCAAGTTGAGGGGAAAGATATCACAGAGTTGATTGCAGCTGGAAGGGAGAAATTAGCTTCCGTACCAAGTGGTGGTGGTGGTGGTTCTGTTGCAGCTGTTGCTGCTGCACCTTCCAGTGGTGGTGGGGCTGCCCCAGTTGCTGAAGAGAAGAAAAAGGAAGAGAAGGTTGAAGAAGAATCCGACGACGATATTGGCTTTGATCTTTTTGGAGGAGATGATTAGAGTTCTTTTACTTCTATATGTTTGTTTGGATAATATTATCAAGTTTTAGCATCCCTTCCTGTTTTTCACTCTAGTGAAGACTCCTAAATCTTTTTCTGCCTATTGTATTATTACAATAGCTGAATCATGAACTTGACATCTCCATCTTCATTCCCCTTTCAAGCCTATTTTTGAAAACTTTGAGTTTCAATGGTTCTCTTGACATTATATACCGTTTTGTTTTACTCACTTTTCTATCATCGTAGACAATAAGGATGTTTTCACACTTAAATAGATCAAATCAGATTTAAATATATTAGACCAGACTTAAATAGACCAGATAAGCAACAAATTTTAGCTCCTAAGTAAATATCCTAACAAACTTTGTTGGTTTGACAATGTAATAAAATAAAAATAATTATTTTTGAAATTTTAATCTTGTTAAATGTATTCAGTTGTCTCAAGAGCAAACCTTCTTTTATTTGAGTTTTACAGTTCATTTTTTTGCAGTTGGATTTCTTATATTTTGAGGATAATGGTTTGACCTGTTTAAGTCCCGGGTCGGTCTGCCTCAATAAGCCCCTGGTTTTGGAGTTTGGACCTAGTCCTGGTCCCAGTCCCAGACCCTGGGTCGGGTCAGACATGTACAGTAACGGGCAGGGTCGGGCTGAATAGGCCCAGTCCGCCCCTAGTGCAAATCAAATGAGAGAAAGTGCACTACACTACTGCTACATTATGGAGTACATAGTTATAGATAGCAGTATAGATATTGACGTACTTGGCCTTTGAGGCTTTGAGCAAGATAACTATTTTTGCTTACAAGTTTTCTCAACATTTTATTTTTTTAAACTAGTTTCATTGTTGTTCCCGTTTTGCTGTATTGGGTTCCAAGTTGGCCCAAAGTGAAGACTATCAACTCTATTCTTGAATGAATATGAATAATAGTGTTTGGATCTGCTTCTTAAAACTGTTTCTGCTTTTAGATGAAAGTGCAGAAATACTGCTGATTGCTCTAAATTGCTCTCAGAAGAAACCCATAATAATATTAAAGTCAAAACCCATAACTTTTCCTTGTGTGTTTAGAATTGTTTGTTAGCTTTAATTTCTACTTTTTAAAATCAAGCATACAAATATTTTAATTGTAGGTTAAATAGGGAAGAAAATTTGGAAGGGAGGGAGTCCAGTAGAGTACGTATCATTAGGGCTGAGTACGGATCTGGGATTCCCAACTCGTACCGAGAACTGTCTCAAATTGTACTAGAACCGAACAAACTAGAATAATATAATACCGTACCATACCATACCGATTTTTTTTATTAATTTGATACGGTACCGATTCTTTTGTGAGAACCATCCCGGAAACGTATTGAACCGAACCATCCCGAACTGTCTTGTATCGTCCCGAAAAATTGGTTATACAAAAGAATATATATTATATTAGCCAGTAATTTACATTCTAGACATCTAGTTACTCAAGGCTTTGGTATAGGCCCTATAATGCATATTCTTTAGGGCCCCAATACAATTATCAAGCCTACTAAATTCTATAAATAATAATAGTAATAACTATGATACGAAACATGTAAACCTAGTTTAGGTATTTTGTTAGCAACTTTGGCTACTCTGCAAAGTCCAGAAGACCAGAATAATAAATTTAATATAGTTTGACTATTAATTTTGTATTTTTAGTTAGGTTGATTGCTTAAGGTTAGTTTAACCTAGACTTTTCAATCATGCAATCTCTCCGATTCTCTTAAATTTTTGTACAAGTACTTCATATAAATGCTAAAACCTAAAATATTTTGGAAATTCACGAGAGTTAATTATTTAAAAATCGAATAGTACTGAAGAACCGTACCAAACCGTACTGAAAGTTGGTACAGAACGTGACATGTTCTATATATATTCAGGAAGGTACCAGTTCTTTGATTTTTAAAAGAATCATACTTTGGGACGAGACCCCACAAGATTTTCAAAATAATCGTCCCATACCATCCATGCTCACCCCTACGTATCATTACTAGGTGCATCTTTTTGTGCTCATTTGTTCCCCTCTCACCAACCATGTGAATTTATTATTGATGTCACCAATGATATTTATTATTGATGGGATATCAAGGTCTGGCCCAACATACCGGCCCAGAATATCCCTAGGGCCAAGTCATAGGCCCCAAATGGGAGTTTGACACATCCCTAAGGCCCAAAACACAAAGGGTAGTCCAGAAGAAGTCATTGGGTCCGAACGGAGGTTGAGTGACTAAAGGAAAGGCCCGTTCGGCACCTACCGAATGAGATATAATTAACACTTGGGTAACCAATTTACTCCCGAGTCAGGGGCTTAGAGGATCTGAATCCCGAACGAGGTTTCGGTCAAGTGGCAGGCTGCATTTAATGCTGAGATATGAGGACCGCAAGTGGGGGCATGGGTGCACAAGTGGCATGGAAAACAACCAATCATCTTAGAGCAACTCATATCCCTCACCTACCCCATTCTAGTATAAATAGGAGCATTTAATTCATTGTGAGGGGTTAGCATTTGAATACTCACTAGCTCTTATCACATTCTAAGCTCTTGTATTAGCTGTTGGACCGTAACTACCGTTCGGCCATTTCCTTTGTAATAATAAATTACTCAGTTAATACAAGCAGGGCTATTCGAGTACAATCCATCAACTTTAATATTTCTTTTATACACTTTTACTGTGGCAATTTTACCCTAGATCCAAAGTTGGTGTTGGACCTTTGGGTCGTTCGGGACTTAAACTCAACATTGGCGCCGTCTGTGGGAACCTGGAACGTTGAGCACCTAAGGAAATTCTATTAATAAAAACGGCTGTTGCCACCTCTTCAAGAAAAAAGAGAGGGAAACATAACTTCCAGAAAAGCCTCAACTTGATTGTAAATATTGAAAACCATTCCAGACGACCGAATGGGGATCATTGATATAGTCTGGAGAGAGCCGTCATGTAACACCGTCCCCAAGTATATTTACTTTTAGTAAATCATGTAATAAACCTTGAAGAATGATTTATGAATTTACGAGGTTGTAAATTTTTATTAATTCTTTTGCGTGAATAATAAATTGCACATGGGGCCCACATCGGGAGCGGGGACCACCCGATAATTCTGGGACCACATATTATATTCATCTTGGTCTAGATAATATGTATATGGTGATGAATAATTTAGTCGGGCCATGGAAAGGGCATAGGGTTGACCAGTTGGTCAAACAAGGTCCGATTACCGGTATTGGGGATTTATCGGATAACAGTCCGGAGACTTCCAAAATTAAGGTTGAGGAATGTGTATTTATTCTAAGAGCCCATAGGGGTTGAGAATGTCTGATATATTTTATTTAGCCCGATAGAATAAAATATAATTAAAACAGTCCGAGAAATACAACTTTCGGGCCGAGTGTACACTTCGGGACACAAAGGGATGACCTCCCACATGAGTGGGGGCTACCCCACGTTTTTATGAGCTCAATTAGACAAGATGGCTGGAGTTGACAAAGGAAGGAGTGGAGGAGAGTCATTTGACATCTAAAGTATCAAAGAGGACCCCTCACCCTCATTTATTTGCCAATTAAGAATTTAAGACAAAATTACACATCTCCTCCCACCCTTACCTCCTTGGCTCAACCTAGTCTTCAAGGAAAGAGGAAGAAGTTCTCAACCAATCCTCCATAGCTGAAAAAATTCGAGCTCAACAATAGAGATCCAAAGAGGAAGCTTAAATAAGGAAAACGTTAGGGAAAGTGTGAAGGATTAAGGTAATAACCTTATAATAACTTTTCCTTTACTTTTTATCTATCATATGAAGGGTATAGCATACGAGGAACCCTGTTAAGACCCGGGGTTCCATCCTAAAAGGTCAACCTGATAGGAGGAGTAGCCCATGTCTTAATATAGCACTTTGTTGATTCAAACTTTTCCGGTGTGGGATTCTAACACCCTCCTCACGACCAGACACTTCGTCTGGATCGTGCCGTCAGTCATTTTTTCGTTGGTTCATCATTGTCATTTTTTTAATCATGTCGTCATTTTTCATAAGGGGGCCCACACCATGGTTATGGATCGGTTTGTCTCTGATACCATGTTAAGACCCGGGGTTCCATCCTAAAAGGTCAACCTGATAGGAGGAGTAGCCCATGTCTTAATATAGCACTTTGTTGATTCAAACTTTTCCGGTGTGGGATTCTAACAAACCCCTAGGCTTGTTCTACATATTTAGAGATGTAGAATGAGGGGTTGGAAGGAAGTTCTAAGTCCACGAACGGACTTAGAAGCCAAAACAACCGGTTCACCGGAAAATAACCTTTTAGAGGTTATTTGTATTGATATGAGTTTTGTGATGATAAAAACATGTTAGGAGTGTGACACCTCGAAAAATTTATTAAAATAAAATAAAATAAATAACTTTAGTCAAATAAAATGTGATCAAAGTAACATTTTATTAAATAAGTGAACCGGATAAAAATTTAACATTTGTGACATGTTTAATCTGATAAAAATGATCCGATAATAAAAATAACGTTTTATATCAAGTACAAGTTCTACATATGACATAATTAATAAAAGTTATTTTATAACTATTTTGATTTGTGTATAAAATACACAAAATACAAACTTGGCTTTTCTAATAGTATGCACTCCTAATGAATAAAATATACATAAGTACGTACTAATATAATAATAAAAAAACAAATACTCCACCTATGTACAATGAACCTTGCCAACTAAGGAATGAGGCCAAAAGTACCCAACTCATCCTTCGCTGAAACTGAAGAAACGTACAACCTGTGATATACACGCACATGTGGTGTTGTTAAACAAGGAAACAACGTTTAATCCGATAAGAATGACCGATGCGTATTATACGCTCTTCAAAGCCAATCTCCTAAAACCACATTGGCAAAAAAAAAAGCGGAGCATAGACATCTGGAAACAATTATATATACTCCTAAGCCTAAGGTCGAAGAAACCTACGTTTACTTCATTACTTCCACAGCCGCCATCTGGTTCTTCTCTCTCGAAACCTTTATCGATCAAAAGTTTGGAAAATCCGAATATATGCATCCACATGGAGAAGGAGACTCGTACGAAACCAATATGCATAAAACACATATATATACAAAAACCGACCATATTCTTGGTGGGCACCAAGGTTGAAGAGAAACGGACGTCTGCAGAGCCAAGGAAAGATATATATACAAGTATATATTAACGTATACATGAGAGTCGCGAGCCCGAAACTCCACCTTGAAATGAGCGAAAAACAACTACGGAACAAGAAAAGAAAAAGAACAAGAGACGGGGAGAGAGAAGAGAAACAGAGCGAGAGAGAAAGAAAGAAAGGAAAGATAAAGGGGAAGAGAACGAGGCCGCCGGACTGGTCCTACGCTGGAGAAAACGAACGCCGCGCCGGAAGGGAAAAGCTTGTACGTTGGGGAAGGAAGGACGATGTCGTGTCTTCGCTGGAGTAGATGAAACTCGGCTCGCTGTCCATAGAGTTCCAGTGCTCATAGGAGTTTCCATGTGTTGTCCTGCTGCGTCGTCCGCACCTAGACGAAGAAGACGTACGTCGTTCGCAACTCTACTCCTCTTGTTTTACTTTTTGGGCCGCTGTTTAGACTTGGGCCATTTTAATCTTGTTGGTCTGGTCCGTAAAATTTATTTATAATAATAAATATAAACGGGACAAGTAAATCATAAATTGAATAAGAATTAGCAAAGGGTTAGAAAAGAATAATTATTAATTTTTGAGTTTTAATATTTTAGAAGGTGAATTTGGAGAAGGTCGAGTTAAACGCTTCAAATAGGATTTATTGCGAATCGAGGTAAGTTTCTCTGACAATCCAAAATTGTTTCATCGTATTATATGCTTATTATGCATTCTGTGATTAAGTGTGAATTGTGAATTTTATGTATGTGATTTTGAGAAGATATTATATATATGGTAGTTGAGAAATATAAATTAAGTACTTTTGGGGTATTAAATATTTTGAAATACCTTTGAGACTTTTTAGAGAAATTGAGAAGTATTTTTGAAGTATTATTTAATTGAAGATAAAATTTACATTTTTATAAGAAGTAAGCATCTCGGGAGTAATCCGAGGTGTCGGTTTTCCACATCCGGATAAATGTGGAGGGTGATTAGAGCGGCTACTACTAAGAAGTACAGTTTGAGTAACTTTCGGATCGATGATCCCTTTTAAGAAGGAGAGTTGTGGTAGTACTGTAGTAGTAGTTCCGACGTAAAAGGGCTACTACTGCTAAGGGTGATGATAAATTTTGAGTGATAATTGGATCGATGATCCCTTTTAAGAAGCAGAGATATAGTAGTAGTCCCTAATCATTCAAGAATTTTAAAGGTGGGGTGGTTGGGTTCCGACCACTCGGGATGACTTACTATTCGGAGGGCTTGGAATCCCTTTTAAGGGGTGTGCACACTAAGGTAGTCGTTTCGTTTCCGCAAAGCAGTTGTGGCACCGGCACTTGTTCGGGGTGGCCGTCCGTAACCACGGTCCACCGGGCTCAGTCAAAAGGTTGAACACCGCCCTTCTAAATTACTAGGAAGATAGAGAAGCAGTGAATTTTGAGAAATTTTAAGAGAAGAGTTACCATAATATTTTCGAAGAAAAGTTGAGGATTTTAGTAAAGAAGCGATTTTAAGAAAAGTCAAAGAGATGAAAATTTTGGTTGAGTGTGTTATTTTCATATAGTATTATATAAAAATTATTTTTGCCAAACCTGATTATTTTACTGGATTGGGTAGTACTTACTTAGCTCTAAAGCTAATTTTTGTTATTTTTCTTGTTCCTCTCTCCTCCCTTAATCTTTAACAGGTGATGAGTTGGAAGCTTATGTTGACTGAATGGTTGCTTGAACCTGAGAGCGATTTAGAAGATGCCTTAGTCAAACCTAGTCAAGAAATAAACGTTTATTTATTATGACATTAGTTTTATTGTTTTGTTTTGGTTTGCCTGTGCATTCGATTAAGAGATAACCGGATGTGGCGGTAACACCCGTTTCCCTATTTAAATTATTTCCGCTACAAGATTTTTATCAATTGCGAATGAATAAAGCAAGTTTATTATCAATAAATTATTATTTCAAGTATTATTTTTGGGCGGGAAATTGGGGGTGTTACAAGGAGCTTAACTAAAGAGTTTCTAGAGTTTGTCGGAGTTCGCCGGAGTTTCGCCGGAGTTTCGCCGGAGTTCAGCCGAGGAGCGTAGAACGCGCTAAAGCTCATTTAATGTGAGTGGACGGCTTAATATCTTATAACTTTTGGGTTAATTATGAGATTACCTAAATAAATGTTATATGTATTCATAATGATGTTTAAAAGATATTTAAACATGTGATTAGCCAAAATGATTAGACATGTATGAAATGAAGTACGTGAATATGCATGGAATATGATATGAGAATTTCTATGAAATTGCATACTATGTTTGAAAGGTAAAGGAAGTATAGAATGAATATTGTTAACTTAATATATATGATGATTAAGTTGATATGTATAAGGCTTGAAGTGACGGTTAACGAAAACGTTGACCGATTGATGATGGATTAATTAATACCGGTTGATATTAGTTAATTATAAATTGATATAAATGCATGGCTTGCATGAATTGAAATACATAAGCCTTATGAAGTTATTTAGCTATGAATATGATATAGACTCTATCTAGATTGATAGGAGGTTGATCATCAAATATAAACTTGTTGGAGGACCCTAGGACTAAAAGTCCTTAACACTCAATAATAAACTTGGTGGAAGACCCTAGGACTAAAAGTCCTTAACACTCAAACATAAACTTGGTGGAGGACCCTAGGACTAAAAGTCCTTAACACTCAAATATAAACTTGGTGGAGGACCCTAGGACTAAAAGCCTTTAACACTCAAATATAAACTTGGTGGAGGACCTTAGGACTAAAAGTTCTTAACACTCACATTATAAACTTGGTGGAGGACCCTAGAACTAAAAGTCCTTAACACTCAAATGTAAACTTGGTGGAGGAACCTAGGACTAAAAGTCCTTAACACTCAAATATAAACTTGGTGGAGGACCCTAGGACTAAAAGTCCTTAACACTCACATTATAAACTTGGTGGAGGACCCTAGGACTAAAAGTCCTTAACACTCAAATATAAACTTGGTGGAGGACCCTAGGACTAAAAGTCCTTAACACTCAAATATAAACTTGGTGGAGGACCCTAGGACTAAAAGTCCTTAACACTCATATTATAAACTTGGTGGAGGACCCTAGGACTAAAAGTCCTTAACACTCAAATATAAACTGGTGGAGTACCCAAGGATTATATTATCCTCAAAAATCATAGATTATGAAATTGAAATAAAGATAAGGATGAGTCCTATACACTCATAAGTATATGGGTGGGCTGGGGTTTTTAGTCAAGAATATTGGCTATTACTATTTTCCCCAAATAAAACAGTGATCTACGGATCGGGTATTTTCCAAGTGTATATATACTATTAAGTATTTCTTAACTTGGGGGAAAGGACTATTTATATAAGTATCACCCTATGGTTGAGTCTTATACTTGAAACGCTAGTTATTCTATATTTAGCCTGCTACTCGCTCGATACTTGTACTAACCCCTTCGGGGGCCCCCACCATTTTCAGGTTGAAGCTAGGGCTTACTACCTGCACCTTTTTACGGGTGACATCAAATTCAAGGGAGACGTGGTTCGTGCTTCCTCATGTTCTTTCAAATTACTAAACATTGCTCATGGATATTTTTATTTGTTTTAAACTACTTTTGGGCTTGCATGCCCATGTTATTGGCCGAATGTGGCCTGTGAATCACCGCTGAATATTTCCGCTATTCAATAGTTTAATTGTGATGTTGTTATGTATGTTTACTACTGAGTATGGATGGATTGTTTTCTCGAACACCTCGTATAATTAAGTGAGCTTGACCTGCGGGTGACGTCACTCGATTATACGACGGTTGTACACGCGCTTAGATTGCGGTCCGGGGCGTGACAATTAAGTGGTATCAGAGCTATCTCAGTTCTAAACTATGTAATCAACCTCTCACAAGAGATGTTTCAAAGGAGTTTTACCGAAAACCATGAGCATTGTATTTTGACGTTTATAGGACTATTGTTACCTAGCTTGCAAGGTCTCTAATTGTTAAGATGGTACCCTTAACAATTGGTATGACACTGACATGGGCCAATATGTGTCTATAACGTTTTCCGTCAATTGACATTGATTGGAGTCTAACGAATCGTTCGAATTCCTTTATAGAAATGGAGGGTAAATGCATGGCAATGAGAAATGACCCTAAGGGTCAAGTGTCGGTAGCTTACGTGGAGGCTAGTCGGGCCGTGTCACGAGCCTCTAGGGGGAGAGGAATAGGTCATGGGGGGCGTGAGAGCCGCCAAGGCCAAGCGGCAAGTGATGGTCGCGTGGACTCGGTGTGTAACATGAACACCAGGAGGAAAGAACGTAGGCGTCAGGCTAGGCACGATCGGGTCACCTACCAACGTGATATAACTGCCAGCCAAGCCATCCTTGGGAAAACAAGCAAAGAGGAGAAAGCACTTTTACGGTACCGGCATCACCGGTGAAAAAGAAAATGAACTCAAAGTGGCATGCGTGCTTTCCTTACTCTTTCAGACCATCCAAATGTTCGAATTGCTCTAAGAAACATTTCGGAAAGTGCAATGAGCCTCCGATGTGTTACGAATGTGGGAGCACAACCCATATGAAATTAAGCTGCCCATGGAGGAGGCAACGAGAAACATCGCAAACCGAAGGAGGGCTCACCGAGGAAAGAAACCATACGGAGCCAACGACAAGTCATGTCGCGTCCGTAAATCAAGGTGGGACCCAAGCACGAGTGTACGCGATGACCGAGGCGGATGCGCGAGCAAACCCGGACTCCGTCGCAGGTAATACACCAAATTTTGATTTTTTGCAGGCTTATATTGGTAATGTAAGTTGTAGGGGTTGAGTACGGGCCACCCCGAGGATGAACAGGAAGAATTTGGGCCAAAACGGACTTAAAATGGCCGCTGCACGCTACGCATGGCCATAGGCACACCGAGCGTGCCACCGTGCGTGGGTGGCAGACAAAAACGTATTTAAAATGACTGCTGCACGCCACGCATGCCCACACGCACGCCGTGCGTGGCACTGTGCGTAGGTGGCAATGAGGTTCCAACGAAACAAAAACGAAAAAAATGGTCGGACGCACGCCGTGCGTGGCCTTCACGCACGCTGTGCGTGACCGGCAGTGGCTACCCGGAAGTATTTTCGTGCACGCACGGCCGTGCGTGCCACCTAAGCACGCCGTGCGTGGACCCCCAACACCCTAAATTTGTCTTTTTCGCTCCGTTATTCTATGTTTGGACCCCCGTTTGATTCCAAACATTTATATGAACCCAATAGCCTCCTAAAAGAATCCAAAAGCATTATAAAAAGGTATCTTACATGGTGTATAAATGTAGGAACATTAAAGATCTATGGTAAGGGTGCGAGGATCCTCATCGATACTTGGGCACAACACTGATTTGTGAGTGAGGCGTTCGCGGAGGGTCTTGACGTGCCATTGATGCCTATGACGCAAACATTGCTAGTCTCCACACCGTTAGGAGATGACGTGGAGAGGAATCGTTACTATCCATCATGTGAGGTGGAAGTGATAGGTCAACCTCTGACTTGTGATTTCGTACCTCTAAGCATGCTGGAGTTCGATGCAATTCTAGGAATGGACTGGCTCGAGAAACACCACGCTCGAGTAGATTGCTACACCAAGGTGTTGGAGCTTGAGAATGATAAAGGAAACACATTATGCTTCGAAGGAGATCGGGGAAAGTCACATGCATGTATCATATCTGTGGTGAGAGCACGGAAGATGATGAGGAAGGGATGCCACGCATACCTTGCTCATGTAGTAGATGACACAAAGAAAGAGGTTGACAGCAGGGATGTACGGGTCATGTGCAAATACCCAGGCGTCTTTCCCAAGGATCTACCGGGGCTCCCACCCGATAGAGAGATCGAATTTGTAATTGAAGTGAAGTCAGGAACCAAACCCATTTCGATTCCTCCTTATCGAATGGCACCGACCGAACTTCAAGAGTTGAACGTCCAGCTACATGATTTATTGGACAACGGGTTCATCAGACCCAGTCATTCACCGTGGGGAGCACCCGTACTCTTCGTGAAGAAGAAAGATGGTAAACTAAGAATGTGTATTGACTACCGACAGTTGAACAAGGTCACCATCAAGAACAGGTATCCTTTACCTAGGATTGATGACTTGTGTGATCAACTTCGAGGGGCAATATTATTCTCGAAGATTGATTTGAGGTCGGGGTATCATCAGTTGAAGATCAAGGAAAGTGACATACCTAGGAGTGCATTTCGCACTAGATATGGTCATTACGAGTTCCTTGTGATGTCATTTGGTTTAACCAACGCACCGACAACATTCATGAACTTGATGAACCGTGTGTTTAGTGAATACTTAGATCAATTTGTGATAGTATTCATTGATGATATCTTGATATACTCCAAGAGCGAGGAGGAGCATGAACATCATTTGAGGCTTGTACTGGATCAGTTAAGAGAAGAGCAACTCTTTGCCAAGTTCTCTAAATGTGAATTTTGGCTCAAGGAGATTGGCTTTCTCAGGCACGTTATATCCGGTTTGGGCGTTGCTGTGGGCAACGCCAAAATAGAAGCCATTATAGATTGGGAGAGGCCCAAGAATGTGAAAGAGGTACGTAGTTTCCTTGGCTGGCGGGATACTACCGTAAGTTCATGAAGAAATTCTCCGTATTGGCGTCTCCATTAACGAAGCTCACAAAGAAGGGGGACAAGTTCATATGGGACGACAAGTGTGAGAAAGGATTTCTTGAACTAAAGAAAAGACTTACCGAAGCACCAGTTCTCGCCCTACCCATACAGGGGATAAAGTATGATATTTACAGCGATGCTAACATCCAAAGGCTTGGATGTGTACTGATGCAAAACGGTAAGGTTATTGCCTACTCTTCTAGGCAATTGAGGAAACACAAGGTGAACTACTGATACGTTCGTAATTTCCATTTCTATGTTTATGTTTTTAATTAGTTTTGCTTGACTTTTACTTTGGAAATTACACACTTTTGGTGTAATAGATTAGATTGTTAAATTCTTGTAAATAGGTTAGATTATATATATTCTGAGCTTAAGCAGGTTTTGGTCACTCAAAGTACAGTTGGTGAACCCAAAAAGTGAAGAGAAGGTGCAAAAGTTCAAAGACAAAAGAAGATCCTGAATTTTGGTCTATACTCGGTCGAGTATTAGCTATACTCGATCGGGTATTAGGTTGGAACTTCAAATCGGATCAGATCCGAAGACAAAAGAACATGCAGGGAAGATTTTGGCCACGATTCTATGTCTATACCCGATCGGGTAGACCGACATACCCGATCGGGTATGCCTTTGAATTGCAAACGAAGATCGGTCGAGTATAGCCCGAATACCACTTTCTAAGCATACTCGACCGGGTATTCATATATACTCGATCGGGTATACACTTAGAAAATAGCCTGAAACCGGTCGAGTATGCCTCGGATCGGGTGTTACACACATACTCGATCGGGTACCATGTATATACCCGATCGAGTACCCGAATCCCATCCCAAAAACCTATAAATACACCTCCTTTCCTTCACAAAAAGATATCCAATCCCTTTGTACATCTAAGCTCAGTATAGAATAGCTCTTTCTTTATATTTTTCATCATGTTTAGTCTCCAAATGAGGAGCTAAACTCTTCCATCTTGGTTTTGCTACTTTGAAGCTTAATGAATTTGTAAGTTGTGAGTTATTTCTCTTTAATCTTCTTCCTTGAATATTAATTCTTTCTTTCAAAATACTATCTCTATATCAAAGTTGGGGAGTGTTACTAAGATGACAATTAGTTAACATCTTGACATTGGTTATAGTAATAGCTATTTCTTCCTCTATGATAATATTGGGGAGTGTTACTAAGATGACAATTAGTTAACATCTTGATATTAATCATAGTAGGATTCATATATTTTAATATTCTTCCTTGAGTATTAATTAATTCCTATTCATATTTCATGTTAATATCTTAAACAATACTTAAAGTATCAACTAGTATTGTTTCTCATATTAATTATTACTAGAATCAATCGGTTAATACGCTTGTTATTAATCCGGTTCTTTCAACGGTAGTAAACTTAGAATATTAATGCATGCATCTCATGGTTAATATGCCAAGGGGAATTAATTATATTGATTAAACCAATAAACCGCTTGTGTTGAGGTTATCAATCTCAATCGTTTTCATCTTAAGTTTATTGCTACTATCAAGTTAATATACGGCGCTTGTTCTATATTGACTCGATAGTAAGTTTTATTAATGAACGCATCTCGTTATTAATAACTACCCTCGATGAGCTGGATATACTCCTCGATTGAGTATTCGAGAGGAAGATAGTTAAAGATATAACCGGGATCGACGAACATTTCATTAAGTGGATAAAAGCAAGACCAAGTCTTCATCTCATTGCATTAAACTCATATAGGTTGTTTATCTTAGTGTTGTTAAAACAAACAAATCTAAACCCCCCTTTTTGTTACTACTTTTATAAAAGAAAAGTATTCCTTTCCCTGTGGATACGAACCTTACTGCACTATACTACTTATTTGTGTCGTATTGATTATTTATTTTGAGTGCACCTAACGACGAGTGCACGTCAAATTTGGCGCCGTTGCCGGGGAAAGGCAATAAATTTTTCTTTTATTTTCATATCAAGAAAAATCAAAAAAAAAATTAAATAAAAAAAATTATAAAGAGTTCTTATTTCTTCTATTTCTGAGCTTAGTAGAGTTTATGGTTAGACATCGCTCCATAAACAAAATCACATACCAAACAAACCCAGAAATAGAACACACTTTCGAGCGGTTGAAAAGTAAATTTTCTAATACCGACTCGGAGGAATCATCTATCAGAGATTCATCCAGCGCTAGTTCTCATTCTAGCGAGACCGAAGAGTCAATAACCATGGCTCTTGAGACAAGAACACTACGGGAGCTCACTGCTCCAAATCTCAATCAACAACCGTTATGTATTACCTTCCCTACACTCGATGAAGGTAATACATTTGAGCTAAAATCTGGGCTCATACATCTACTGCCATCCTTTCATGGCCTAAGGGGCGAAGACCCCAACAAACATCTCTCGGAATTCCATATTGTCTGCACAAGCATGTGCCCCAGTGGTGTTTCGGAAGAACAAATCAAATTGAGGGCTTTTCCATTCTCCCTCAAAGACACTGCAAAGGATTGGCTATTCTATCTTCCTTCGGGAAGTATAGACACATGGGCAGCAATGAAAAAATGCTTCTTGGATAGGTACTATCCCGCCTCAATATCATCTTCTTTAAAAAAACAAATAAGCAACATTGAGCAAAAAGAAGATGAAACATTGTATGAATATTGGGAGCGCTTCAAAAAGTTGTGTGCTAGTTGCCCATATCATGGGTACACCGAGCAAGACCTCATCCTCTATTTTTATGATGGTCTTGCGGATCAAGATAGGCGCATGGTGAATGCGGCTTGTGGAGGGGGAATTGTTAACAAAACCCCTTCTCAAGCAAGGAATCTCATCTCGGAATTGGCCGAGAACTCCAGACATTACAGTGGGCGATCCTCAACTCGAAGGGTTGCCGCAGCAGAATCCAACACCTCGTTGGAAGGCCAAGTTGCCAGTTTGACTTCTCTTGTCAAAGAACTTCTTCTGAAACCTAACACTCAGGAGGTCAAAGCTTGTGGCATTTGCACAGCAACCGGGCACCCCACTGATTCGTGCCCATCAATCCAAGAAGAACAAGTCAACGCCTTGGGTTTCCAAGGCCATCAACATAAGAGGTATGATCCATTCTCAAATTCTTACAACCCTGGATTGCGGGATCATCCTAACTTGAGGTATGGAAACCCTCAACAATCCAACTCATCTTCTCAATCTGGTATGTCAACTGATTACATGATCCGGACTTTGACCTCAAGCATGGTCACCATGCAACAAAACATGGGACAATTTCAACAAACCATGGTACAATTTCAACATGAGACAAAGTCAAGCATTAACAATTTGGAAACTCAAGTTGGTCAAATTGCAAATGCCGTGAACCAACTTCAAACAAAGGACTCGAGTAAACTCCCATCCCAAACGGAGCAAAACCCGAGACAACATGTGAATGCTATAACGTTGAGAAGTGGTGCAACGTTGAAAGAGGCAAAAGAGAACGAGGAAGAGACTGAGGGTGTGGACCCTGAAAAAATAGTTCCACCGGAGGAGGAAAACAAAGAAACCAAGCTTCCCCCACCCTCATCATATGAACAAGAAATCCCGTTTCCTGAGGCGCTGAATGAGACAAAGAAGCTAGAAAAAGATGCCGACATCTATGAAACCTTCGCAAAGTGTGAGGTAAACATTCCGCTTCTTAACTTCATGAAAAATGTCCCTCGTTTTGCTAAATTCTTAAAAGAATTATACAAAACAAAAAGAAAAGATAAATTGAAAGGGAAACAAGAGGTTAGAGTTAGTGAACATGTCTCGGCCATTTTTCAGAGGAAACTCCCCGAAAAATGTAACGACCCAGGCATGTTCACTATCCCTTGCAAAATAGGAAACACCACATTTCCTAAGGCCTTGTTGGATTTAGGGGCATCAATAAATGTCATCCCCTATTCTGTTTACAAAACTCTACAACTTGGCCCACTACATCAAACAGGTGTAGTGATTCAATTGGCAGATCATTCTAGTACTTACCCAAAGGGTGTAGTAGAAGATGTGCTAATAGAAGTAGAAAATATGGTCTTTCCTGTTGACTTCTATGTCCTTGAAATGGGAACTGATGACCAAACAACACCCATCCTTTTGGGTAGACCCTTCATGAAGACCGCAAAAACGAAAATTGACGTTTCTAGTGGTTCACTAACTTTAGAGTTCGATGATCACAAAGTGGAGTTCAACATCTTGGACTCTACGAAAAAACAAATGCAAAATCCAACTCTGTGTTCTTTACATGTTGTTGAACCACAAGAACCGTTGTTTTTCCAAGAAGCGGATAAAATCAGATGTCTTTTGAGAAAGAAACCCCGGCCTTACTAGAAAAGGCCGAAAAATAAAAATGAAAGATGGCCAAATAGGGCCTTGAAAAGTGCAACAAGGGATGCTCATGATCCCACATAAAACAAAACCAAAAAAAAAATGAATAACGTCGTGCCACGACGTTAACTAAGGCGCTACTTGGGAGGCAACCCAAGTTTATTTTAATTTTTTATTTAAGTGTGTATAATTCATTTTTGTTTTATTTAATTCAAGTGATTAGAATTCAATTATTGTCTAATTGTTTGAGAGATCAGTGAGGGAGGACACTAATCATGGGTTTTTGGAAGAAAAGAAATAAAAAAAATGCAGGTTTTGGAAGATCTGGGGACATACCCGATCGAGTATCCCCTTATACTCGGTCGGGTATGAGCAAAAAGAAAAGGGACCGGGCACTACTCGATCGAGGGAGCACTCAAAAATTGAAAAATAAGCAATACTCGATCGGGTATCACTATACACCCGGTCGGGTATTGCTAGAAATGCTAAAATTGAAGGGGACTGACTCCCACACTCGACCGAGTACCCGCTTCAAAAATGAAAAACAAAAGCACACACCCGATCGAGTATGGAGGAATACTCGACCGGGCACAGGAGACAGGCTGCTCACAAAGTTCATTTTCTAAGCATACTCGACCGGGTAACCCCACCCTACCCGATCGAGTACAGGAGGCAGGCCGCTCAAAAACTACACTTTCCATCCATACCCGACCGAGTACCAGCACATACTCGATCGGGTATACGTGTCTTATAACCCCAAATCAACCCCAAAACACTTCATCTTCTCCAAATTCCCAACCCTATCTCGAACAAAAAAACGCCCAAACCCCATTTTTACACCTTCTCTCTACCATATCTCTTCCAAATCTTCACCAAATCCACCCATTCCAACGCCAAAACACTCCCCTCATCCTCCTCTACACATTCATACCCACCAATCCCATTCTCCCCCAACTTTCAGAGGTCAGAAAAACCCTACCCCCACCTTCCAATTTCGGTTTTCAAAGGCCAAATTCACTCCAAATGGCTCCAAGGAAAGAGAAAGGGCAAAGCTCAAGCACTAGAGCAATCATCCCGGGCTACGAGGACATCCTCTTCGTGGACAACGAACAACGCACACGCTTCATGTCCACAATTGAAAGGCAAGTCAAACCTTCCCGCTTTTTATGCCTTCATGCTCTAAAGGAATTAGGAGTATACAAAATAATGAAGAAATTTTTTCATGAGTTGCATATGGATAAAATTTTCAAAATGCAATACAACTCAAATGAAAAAATTATCTATGAATTCCTAAGCTCGGTGCACTTTGAGAACAATGAAGAGGACTTTAGGGATGATAAACTCAGGTTTCGATTGTTTAATCACAATCACACCATCACGAAACTTGAGTTTGCCGAACACTTTGGTATTCCGGTCCCGTACCAAAAGTCTATATCCGACAATACCGCCTTCGGCCACACCCTATGGACCAAGATGACCGGGGAGACCAAATTTAGCTCCTCCCAACTCTACATTAGTCATGTCCAACATCCAGTCCTACGCCTCTTTTTCAAATTCCTTGCCAACTCCTTGCTTGGACGTCCCAACAACCATCATACAAGGATGGGGGATGTATGCCTCATCTCGGTAGACTTATTCCGTATCCACGTGGATTTCAACCTCTGTAATCTCACGTGGGCTCATCTAAAGAAGGAAAGTGTGGCAAAAGGGTGCTATCGTAGTGGGCGGGGTGATTATGCACTTGGCCACAAAGTTCGGGTATACGGATGACTCTCCTATACCCGACTACTGTTTAATGAACATATCTTGGCTGGGCCACTCGGGCTGTACATCTTTTTCACACACCGTTTATGGTGAAGAAAGGCCCAAAAATATGTACAACTGGCACATCCACCCCAAACCCCTCAAATACTTCCTCTTGCCCAACCCAGAACTCCCCCAACTCCACTTCAAAACAGGCAGACCGGATCAACATTACCTCTTCCCAAACGCTCTCCCACCACATCTCCAAGAACCGGAACAGGAACCTCCCCAAAACCAACCCGATGACGAGCCCTATGAGCAACTCCATAGCCATCCAACCATGAGCCATGACTTCCCAGAACAAAGCCAAAACCCTCCACCACCCGACTACTGTTTAATGAACATATCTTGGCTGGGCCACTCAGGCTGTACATCTTTTTCACACACCGTTTATGGTGAAGAAAGGCCCAAAAATATGTACAACTGGCACATCCACCCCAAACCCCTCAAATACTTCCTCTTGCCCAACCCAGAACTCCCCCAACTCCACTTCAAAACAGGCAGACCGGATCAACATTACCTCTTCCCAAACGCCCTCCCACCACATCTCCAAGAACCGGAACAGGAACCTCCCCAAAACCAACCCGATGACGAGCCTTATGAGCAACTCCATAGCCATCCAACCATGAGCCATGACTTCCCAGAACAAAGCCAAAACCCTCCACCACCCGACTTCTTTCAACAACTTCTGGAGGGTCAACAACAACTTCTTACGGGAATAGCCCAAATGGACAACCGGCTCAATCGATTAGAGGAAGAGCAAAGAGCCGGTTTTCAAAGATTGGAGGATGAGCAAAGGGCCGGCTTTCAACGTTTGGAGGAGCTCCGGGAGGCCGATAGACACCGGTATGAGGAAGACCAACATAGGTTCTACGGGCTTATGTACTCATTTATGGCACAGCAGGGATCCTTCCATACCATGGCGAACCCTCCTCCACCACCCTCATGGTATGACCCCACTCATTGGGGTAACTTTGGAGGATCTGGCTCCGGTGGTGGAGGGTACGACGGCGGAGATGGCGGGGACACTTACATGGGAGATGGTGGCCAAGGGAGCGGCTTTGGAGGGAGCTACTACGGAGGAGAAGGTGGGCACTAGGGACAATGCTTGATTCAAGTGCGGGGGAGACACTCATGATGGTATGTAATTTTCATTTCTACCTAGCACTATGCGTGTAATTCTTTTGAACTTTTACACACAAAAAAAAATAAAGAAAAAATAAACAAAAGAAAATAAATGCTAGTTAGGTTGAAAACCCAACAAAATGGGCAATCTAAGCAAAAAAGGCTTATAAAAAAAATGAGTGAGTTGGAGAGAATGGAAAATGAAAAGAGGTGCTAGGATGAAAACCTGAAAAGGCTCCTAGGCAAAATGAGAGATATGAGAGAGATGTTTGTTCTCTCAGGAACTCATTGTATCCTTATGAAGAATATGAAGATTCAAGATAAAGAAGAAGAGAGGAGGAGAAAAGAAGACAACACTAGGAGGCCATTAAACCCAAGATGCTCTTTTGTAATTTGAGTTTAAAACTCATTTTTCTTTGTAATACTTGGTGGTCTTTGTGTTTGTATTATGTTTTTGTTGAACTGTGGAACTTTTGGACAAACATTGACACTTGTAAACATTTGATCTTACTCGAGACGAGTAAAAGTTTAAGTGTGGGGGAGTTGATACGTTCGTAATTTCCATTTCTATGTTTATGTTTTTAATTAGTTTTGCTTGACTTTTACTTTGGAAATTACACACTTTTGGTGTAATAGATTAGATTGTTAAATTCTTGTAAATAGGTTAGATTAGATATATTCTGAGCTTAAGCAGGTTTTGGTCACTCAAAGTACAGTTGGTGAACCCAAAAAGTGAAGAGAAGGTGAAAAAGTTCAAAGACAAAAGAAGATCCTGAATTTTGGTCTATACTCGGTCGAGTATTAGCTATACTCGATCGGGTATTAGGTTGGAACTTCAAATCGGATCAGATCCGAAGACAAAGGAACATGCAGGGAAGATTTTGGCCACGATTCTATGTCTATACCCGATCGGGTAGACCGACATACCTGATCGGGTATGCCTTTGAATTGCAAACGAAGATCGGTCGAGTATAGCCCGAATACCACTTTCTAAGCATACTCGACCGGGTATTCATATATACTCGATCGGGTATACACTTAGAAAATAGCCTGAAACCGGTCGAGTATGCCTCGGATCGGGTGTTACACACATACTCGATCGGGTACCATGTATATACCCGATCGAGTACCCGAATCCCATCCCAAAAACCTATAAATACACCTCCTTTCCTTCACAAAAAGATATCCAATCCCTTTGTACATCTAAGCTCAGTATAGAATAGCTCTTTCTTTATATTTTTCATCATGTTTAGTCTCCAAATGAGGAGCTAAACTCTTCCATCTTGGTTTTGCTACTTTGAAGCCTAATGAATTTGTAAGTTGTGAGTTATTTTCTTTAATCTTCTTCCTTGAATATTAATTCTTTCTTTCAAAATACTATCTCTATATCAAAGTTGGGGAGTGTTACTAAGATGACAATTAGTTAACATCTTGACATTGGTTATAGTAATAGCTATTTCTTCCTCTATGATAATATTGGGGAGTGTTACTAAGATGACAATTAGTTAACATCTTGATATTAATCATAGTAGGATTCATATATTTTAATATTCTTCCTTGAGTATTAATTAATTCCTATTCATATTTCATGTTAATATCTTAAACATTACTTAAAGTATCAACTAGTATTGTTTCTCATATTAATTATTACAAGAATCAATCGGTTAATACGCTTGTTATTAATCCGGTTCTTTCAACGGTAGTAAACTTGGAATATTAATGCATGCATCTCATGGTTAATATGCCAAGGGGAATTAATTATATTGATTAAATCAATAAACCGCTTGTGTTGAGGTTATCAATCTCAATCGTTTTCATCTTAAGTTTATTGATACTATCAAGTTAATATACGGCACTTGTTCTATATTGACTCGATAGTAAGTTTTATTAATGAACGCATCTCGTTATTAATAACTACCCTCGATGAACTGGATATACTCCTCGATTGAGTATTCGAGAGGAAGATAGTTAAAGATATAACCGGGATCGACGAACATTTCATTAAGTGGATAAAAGCAAGACCAAGTCTTCATCTCACTGCATTAAACTCATATAGGTTGTTTATCTTAGTGTTGTTAAAACAAACAAATCTAAACCCCCCTTTTTGTTACTACTTTTATAAAAGAAAAGTATTCCTTTCCCTGTGGATACGAACCTTACTGCACTATACTACGTATTTGTGTCGTATTGATTATTTATTTTGAGTGCACCTAACGACGAGTGCACGTCAGTGACTCAACCGGAGGTGGAAGCTCAAATCCCAACCCCACCACCGGTCATTCCCGAGATTGAAGCACCCTTCCCCGAGGCTCTAAGGGAAACACGAAAGTTGGAGAAGGACAAGGACATCTATGAGACATTCTCCAAATGTGAGTTAAATATCCCTCTCCTTAACTTGATAAAGGGTGTTCCTAGATTCGCAAAATTTTTCAAAGAACTATGTACAATAAAAAGGAAACATAGACTCAATGGAAAACAAAAAGTCCAAGTTAGTGAACGTGTTTCGGCAGTTTTTCAAAAGAAACTTCCAAAGAAATACAATGACCCGGGCATGTTCACTATACCTTGCAAGTTGGGAGGAACTACGTTTTCAAAAGCCATGCTCGATTTAGGAGCATCAATTAATGTCATTCCTTACTCTTTATACAAATCACTTGAACTTGGCCCTTTAAATGAAACCGGAGTAGTCATTCAACTTGCGGATAGATCAAATGCCTACCCTAAAGGTATTGTCGAAGACGTACTAGTTATGGTTGAGAATTTGATTTTCCCCGTTGACTTTTATGTTTTGGAAATGGAGAATGATAAGAATGCGGTACCTATCCTTTTAGGAAGGCCATTTTTAAAAACCGCTAGAGCAAAGATTGATGCGGTACCTATCCTTTTTAGCGGCTCTTTAACAATGGAATTTGATGGGGATAAAGTTGAATTCAACATTTATGACTCCATGAAATATCCAAATGAAAATCATTCTTTATTTGCCATTGATATTGTTGACCCCCTTGTACAAAATACTTTTGAAATCAATAAAGAGGACGAATTGTTAAGTATACTTGAAAATGACTTCGGGGAAAACTCTTCAGAACTTGCCTTGACCCCCAACACACAAGCTATGATAGTGGAATTGGATACTCACTTCCAACTCCCACTTATGCCACCGGGGTCTAGGGCATTTCCACTAACCATCCCCGAGGAAAAGCCTCTACCTTCAGTTTTGCAGGCACCCGACGTTGAGATGAAACCACTCCCAACACATTTGAAATATGTGTTTTTGGGGGAAAAAGAGACACTACCGGTCATTATCTCAAACAAATTGACCGGAGAACAAGAAGGCAAATTGATAGCGGTGCTCAAGGAGCATAAACTAGCAATTGGATGGACTATAGCCGACATCTTAATGGAGGATGAGGCCAAGCCGGTACGACAGCCGCAACGAAGACTAAACCCACCTATGATGGAGGTGGTCAAAAAGGAGGTGATCAAACTACTCCAAATGGGGATAATCTTCCCCATCTCCGACAGCAAATGGGTTAGCCCAACCCAAGTGGTTCCAAAGAAAACCGGAGTCACGGTAGTGGAAAACAAACATGGAGAACTAATGCCCACCCGAATTCAAAATGGATGGAGGGTATGTATAGATTACCGTAGACTCAATGCGGTAACTAGAAAGGATTTCTTTCCTTTACCCTTCATCGACCAAATGCTTGAGAGACTTGTCGGGCATAAGTTCTATTGCTTTCTTGATGGCTACTCCGGGTACTTTCAAGTGCCTATAGCCCCTGAAGATCAAGAGAAGACCACTTTCACTTGTCCATTTGGCACTTTTGCATACCGGCGCATGCCATTCGGACTTTGCAATGCTCCGGCCACATTCCAACGATGCATGATGAGCATATTCTCTGAATATGTTGAGCTATTTATGGAAGTCTTTATGGATGATTTTACAATCCATGGAGACTCATTTGATTCATGCCTACTTCTTCTATCTCTTGTTTTGAAGAGTTGTTTAGAATCAAATCTTGTTCTAAACTCTGAAAAATGTCACTTTATGGTGGAGGAAGGAATTGTCCTAGGCCATGTAATTTCGTCCAAAGGAATAGAGGTGGACAAAGCAAAAGTGGAGGTTATCCAATCACTACCTTATCCTACCACCGTTAAGGAGATATGATCATTCCTTGGACATGCAGGTTTCTACAGGAGGTTCATCAAAGATTTCTCAAAGATTGCATCTCCTTTATGCACACTTTTGCAAAAGGAGGTGGAGTTCATATTCTCCGAGGACTGCAAGAAGGCCTTCAATGCTTTGAAGGAGAAATTAGTAACCGCACCTATCATCCAAGCCCCGGATTGGTCTCTTACCTTTGAGATCATGTGTGATGCTAGTGACTATGCGGTCGGGGCCGTTTTGGGCCAAAAGGTGGGAAGAGCATCTCATGTGATCTATTATGCATCCACCACACTCAATGACGCCCAACGCAACTACGCCACCACCGAAAAAGAAATGTTGGCCGTCGTTTATGCGCTCGAAAAATTCAGGTCATACTTACTTGGTACCAAAGTGATCATTTACACCGATCATGCGGCTATTAGGTTCTTGATGACAAAGAAAGAGGCCAAACCACGGCTGATTCGATGGATACTACTCCTGAGCGAGTTTGATGTTGAGATCAAGGACAAAAAAGGCATGGAGAACTTGGTGGCCGATCATTTGAGCCGTTTGGTCTTGGGCGAAGGAAACAATCATATCAAAGATGATATCCGAGGCGAATTTCCCGATGAGACCCTTTTCTCCCTAAAGGAAATTCGTCTTTGGTACGCTCACATTGTTAATTTCCTTGTTCTAAACAGGTTTCCACCAAGCTTCTCTAAAGCTCAAAGAGAGAAACTCCAGCATGATGCAAAGCAATACGTATGGGATGAACCATATTTATGGAAACATTGCAAAGATCAGGTCATTCGAAGATGCATTCCCGAAACAGAAATTGCATCCATACTTGCTTTTTGTCACTCACATGCATGTGGTGGCCACTTTGGAGGAAAACGAACATCCATGAAGGTACTTGAATGTGGTTTTTGGTGGCCAAGCTTATTCCGAGATGCTCATGTCTATTGTCAATCTTGTGATAATTGCCAACGCATGGGCAACATCTCTCGAAAGCACGAGATGCCACAAGTACCTATGCTCTACGTGGAGATCTTTGATGTGTGGGGAATAGATTTCATGGGACCTTTTCCTAATTCCCATGGAAATCTATACATTCTATTGGCGGTAGATTACGTATCCAAATGGGTGGAAGCAAAAGCCACAAAGACCGATGATGCCAAAGCGGTGACTGAATTCCTCAAAACCCGCATCTTCTCAAGGTTTGGGGTACCACGCATCTTGATAAGCGACAGAGGCACTCACTTCTACAACAAAACTGTGAGTACCTTGTTAAAAAAATATGGCGTCACACATAAACTCTCCACCGCCTACCACCCACAGACAAACGGTCAAGCTGAGGTATCAAACAGAGAGCTGAAATCTATTCTTCAAAAGACCGTAAATCCAAACCGTAAGGATTGGAGCCTGCGCATGGATGATGCCTTATGGGCATACAGGACCGCTTTCAAAACCCCAATTGGAATGTCACCCTATAGACTCGTGTTCGGTAAGGCCTGTCATCTTCCGGTCGAACTCGAGCACAAGTCTTATTGGGCGGTCAAAACATTCAATCTCGACATGGCTAAAGCGGGAGAGCAAAGGAAGCTACAACTCCAAGAGCTAGAAGAGCTTCGATTGGAGTCCTATGAGAATGCCGCCATCTACAAGGAAAAGACGAAAGTATGGCATGACAAAATGATAATAAGAAAGGATTTCCAAGTTGGAGACAAAGTCCTTCTTTTTCTCTCACGCCTTCGCCTTTTCCCCGGAAAATTGAGATCACGATGGGAAGGACCATTCGAGGTGGTCAAAGTCTACACCCATGGCGCAGTGGAAATAAAAAGCCTCGACACCGGAAAAATCCTCAAGGTTAATGGACATCAACTCAAACCATTCCTTGAAGGTTTCCAGAAAGAAAGCATTGAATGCATGGATCTCATCGATCCAATCTTTGAAGAATGAACACAACAATGGCGTCGTGCCGCGACGTTAACTAAGGCGCTTCTTGGGAGGCAACCCAAGCAAGGTACATTTTTCTTTTATTGTTAACCCCCCTGTCAATGTTTTCAATTGTGTTTTTGAGAGGTTGAGAGAGAGGGCACTAATCAGGTTTGTGGAGGAAATAAATAAAAAAAATGCAGGTTTTGGAACATCTGGGGACATACCCGATCGAGTATCACCTTATACTCGGTCGGGTATGAGCAAAAAGAAAAGGGACCGGGCACTACTCGATCGAGGGAGCACTCAAAAATTGAAAAATAAGCAATACCCGATCGGGTATCACTATACACCCGGTCGGGTATTGCTAGAAATGCTAAAATTGAAGGGGACTGACTCCCACACTCGACCGAGTACCCGCTTCAAAAATGAAAAACAAAAGCACACACCCGATCGAGTATGGAGGAATACTCGACCGGGCACAGGAGACAGGCTGCTCACAAAGTTCATTTTCTAAGCATACTCGACCGGGTAACCCCACCCTACCCGATCGAGTATCACCTTATACTCGGTCGGGTATGAGCAAAAAGAAAAGGGCCCGGGCACTACTCGATCGAGGGAGCACTCAAAAATTGAAAAATAAGCAATACCCGATCGGGTATCACTACACACCCGGTCGGGTATGTATAGAAATGCTAAAATTGAAGGGGACTGACTCCCACACTCGACCGAGTACCCGCTTCAAAAATGGAAAAACAGCACATACCCGATCTAGTATGGAGGAATACTCGACCGGGTACAGGAAACAGGCTGCTCACAAAGTTCATTTTCTAAGCATACTCGACCGGGTAACAACACAGTACCCGATCGAGTATAGGAGGCAGACTGCTCGAAAAAGGCACTTTCCAGACATACCCGACCGAGTACCAGCACATACTCGATCGGGTATACGGGTATTATAACCCCAAATCAGCCCCAAAACACTTCATCTTCTCCAGATTCCAAACCTTATCTCGAACAAAAAACGCCCAAACCCCATTTTTACACCTTCTCTCTACCATATCTCTTCCAAATCTTCACCAAATCCGCCCATTTCAACGCCAAAACACTCCCCTCATCCTCCTCTACACATTCATACCCACCAATCCCATTCTCCCCCAACTTTCAGAGGTCCGAAAAACCCTACCCCCACCTTCCAATTTC